TTAAGGTTCCTACTTATCATTACTCCTAAATCTCTCTCGCAGTCGGATTTCTCTATGGCATCGTTGTTCATCTGGTATCTGGTTTCCCTGTTTACATCTCCTATACTTAGTACCTTACATTTGTCCATGTTGAATTTCGTCTGCCATTTTTCAGACCACTCGAAAAATTTGTTTAGATCTTCCTGTAATTTTGCGGAGTCCTCGTCAGATTTAATACCACGTCCTATTTTAGTGTCATCAGCAAATTTGCTTATGGTGCTGTCTATGCCGATATCTATGTCGTTTATGTATATAATAAATAATAATGGTCCAAGTACTGAGCCTTGGGGAACTCCACTTGTGACGTTGCCCCAATGGGACTTAGTGCCGTTAATGCTCACAAGCTGTTTCCTGTCCTGTAACCACGCCCTAATCCATTTAAGGATATTACCTTTGATGCCATGTGCTTCTACCTTTCTAATTAGTCTTTCGTGGGGGACTCTGTTGAAGGCTTTGCTAAAGTCGAGATATACCACATCATAATTGTGCCCCTCGTCCACCGATTCGAAAACTGATGAAAAGAATGTTAATAGATTAGTTAGACATGAACGTCCGCTTGTGAAGCCATGCTGGGAACCTTTGATCAATCTGTGCTTCTCCAGGTGATTTCGAATAGTTTGAAATGATTGCTCCCAGTAATTTGCCGACTATTGATGTTAGACTGATTGCGCGGTAGTTAGAGGATAGTGATCTATCCCCCTTCTTGAAAATGGGTATTACATTCGCTATCCTCCAAAATTTGAAGTGTGAAATAAATAAGGAAATAAAATTTGAGCGGATTTCATACACAATTTGGATAGAATTAATCGATGGTAGGGAAAATTAATCACAGGAGTAATATATAGACCTCCTAATCTTGATAGAGTTAATGAGCGACTTATTTGGGATGAAATGCGCAGGGCTTCCATACATAGCAAAATCTGTATAGTAGGCGACTTTAACTTTAGCCAAATAGATTGGATTGACCTTACGGGTAACTCAGAATCAGAGGATTTTCTTGAAACAATCCAGTTCTGTTTCCTAAGCCAACACAATAATATACTCGATTTAGTTCTGTCAAACAGAGAAAACCTCATTAGTGATGAGAACTTCAGGGCAGCCGCAATGAAAATTCCACTAATGTCCCGGATTTCAGGAGGGCAAACTTTGATAGTTTGAAGATGCAGCTGAGAGAAGGGGTATTACGCTTGGGGGTGAATAACATGACCTCACATGAGGTGACCTTACACAATGTATCCACAGAGGGCGACCTCACCCTACCCGGACACCTGACGGTTGAGAATGACCTGATAACGAGATCTGAGGTTGCCGAGTTCCACGACAATTTAAATAATGAGTTACTTAATGCACAAAGGCAGAACATACCATACAAAAAACTCAGATTAAACAACAATGACCCTAAATGGATAAATAATTATTTAAAGAACATTATTGGACAAAGGAAGGGTATAGGTAGGAGAATAAATCGTGGTGAAGTTTACCTCCGAGATTACTATAAGGTATTGGTCGGTAGGGTTAAGACCGAGATAAGAAAAGCCAAGAGATATAATGAGGTGAAGATAGCAAGGGAGGCGAAGTCAAACCCCAAGCGATTCTATCAAATGTATCAAACTAAAACACGAGAAAAGATTGGACCAATACAGTCAGATACCGGCGAGCTAACTGATAACGATGGAGAAATGAGCAATAATCTGAATAAATATTGTTCAACAGTTTTTACCACCAAAAATGTAAACATGATACCAGAGGCACCGACTCTATACAGAGACAGTGCAGAAAATAAATTAAGCGAGATAGTAGTGACTAGTAACGATGTTAGTAAGCAAATAGACAAACAAAAGCCGAATAAGTCACCAGGTCCCGATGAGATATTTGAAAGAGTATTAAAGGATTGTAAGGAAGAGCTTAGTATGCCCTTAGCAAAGTCGTTTAACATGTCCTTAAAAACAGGTGTAGTACTGTACCAGAATCCTGGAGGATAGAGAATGTAATACCGATTTTCAAGAAGGGAGATAGATCACTATCTTCTAACTACCGTCCAATCTGTCTAACATCAATTGTAGGCAAATTACTGGAAGCAATCATTTCAAACTCTATTTGAAATCACCTGGAGAAGCACAAGTTGATCAATGATTCCCAACATGGCTTCCCAAGCGGGCGTTCATATCTAACTAATCTATAAACATTCTTTTCATCTGTTTTCTAATCAGTGGACGAGGGGCACAATTATGATGTGGTATATCTCGACTTTAGCAAAGCCTTCGAACAGAGTCCCCCACGAAAGACTAATAAGAAAAGTCGAGGCTCATGGCATTAATGGAGATATTCTAAAATGGATTAGGGCGTGGTTACAGGACAGGAAACAGCGAGTGAGCATTAACGGCACTAAATTCCATTGGAGCAACGTCACTAGTGGAGTTCCCCAAGGCTCAGTACTTGGACCATTATTATTTATTATATACATAAATGACATAAATATCGGCGTAGACAGTAACATAAGTAAATTTGCTGATGACACTAAAATAGGACGTGTAATTAAATCTGACAAGGGCTCCGCAAAACTACAGGAAGATCTAAAAAAAATTTCGAATGGTCTGAAAAATGGCAGATGAAATTCAATGTGGACAAATTTAAAGTACTCAGTATAGTAGATCTAAACAAGGAAACGAGATACCAGATGAACAACGATGTTATTGAAAATCCGACTGCGAGAGAGAGATTTAGGAGTAATGATAAGTAGGAATCTTAAGCCAAGTAAATAATGTGTATTTGCTCGAAACAAGGCTAATAAAGTACTTGGGTTTATACAAAGGAGTGTTAGTTACAAGACTAGCGAGGTCATCTTATAAGTTATAACTATATCTTGCGCTTGTGAGACCCCACTTGGATTACGCAGTTCAATTCTGGTCACCGTATTACAGATTGGATATAGAATCCTTGGAAAGAATTCAGAGGAGAATGACAAGACTAATCCACAGCATTAGGAACCTTGAGTACAGAGACTGGTTAAAGCATCTTAATTTGCACTCCCTCGAGAGATGTGGAGTGAGGGGCGACATGATAGAGGTGTATAAATGGAAGGCAGGGCTGAACAAAGGGGACATTACAAAGGTACTCAAACTATCCAACCAGGAGTGAACTCGTAACAATGGTTTTAAATTAGACAAATTTAGATTTAAGAGCGAAATAGGTAAACATTGGTTTGGAAATAGAGTAGTGGACGAATGGAACAAGTTACCAAATATCATCATTAACTTGAATACACTGGATAGCTTCAAACATAGGTTGGAAGGGTATATGAGGAATAGGGGTTGGGTGTAAATGGGACTGCCCAATATGGGTCAATAGGCCCGCTGCAATTTCCTCCATTCTCATGTTCTTATGTTCTTATATAAATTCTCTCATTTGTGGAGAAGATGGGGTGAGGGATTAGTGGCCTCCCACTACTGACCTGATGCATTTTCAGGTCACCCATTGTTGGGGTGAGGAATTAATGGGTCTCATAACCTGAAGATGTCTTGAATAAAAGCAAAAGTAATATACAGTACACTGTAACCTCGTGAATTCTGATTTCAGCTTAATTCGTATGTTTTTTTTTATGAATTAAAATATTTGAATTTGGAATGAATTTGAATTAACCATGCAGTTCCAAAAAGTTGATTATTAATATAGCATAGGAATATATTATGATATAAATTAAAATTAATGAATTATAGGAAAAAATATGAATCATATTTAAGATACAAAACTACATTTGGTGGCGTACCCAGTGAGGGATGGCGGAGGAGGGGGAGCGAGGGAGGGAGAGGCCAATTTGCCACTTCCCGTATTTGTTACACGGCCATCCCTTTATAACGACAGCATACAATTTCACAATAATTCTCATTTTATTTAGGTTTATTTGGTGCCTGGTTAATAAAACATTATTGAAAAATAATAAATTTCCTCCCAAAATCCAACACTCAATCCCAGATGAGCTATTGCGGTCTCTTGTTTACAGAACAGAGCAGCATCAACTGATCCTTCTTGCTCTCCCTAACAGTGTTGCCAGCACTCACCATCTCTCAAGCATCAGATTTTTCAGTAATTTGAGTGAACCAGAGTCCCCTTTTCTGTTGAATTAACCTAAATAAGCAAAAGATCACTAAATTAATACTATACCGCTACCTGCGCTATCTAGGACTTTTCGTGTAAGCTACACCTATAGTCACATTTCAACCAATCACGTAAGCAATAACTGTGTTTTCATGATCCACATAAAATGAGACCTCACTGTACTCAGATGAATGTTCATACCTGGAGATGGCGGATGCCTGCCCCACGAGAGGTCACAGCTCAAGGTTGAAAAAGACACAAGTTCAGAAAATTGTTAGGGCAAATTTTTTTGGAGTGAATTATAAACTCTTGGAACAATCTGCCACAGTGTCAGCTCACAGTGTCACAGTGTCACAGGGCACAGTGTCAGCTCATTCCAGACCAGGCTTGATCAACACTGGTGCAGGTACAGATACATTCTGGAGTCAAGTGATTCAAACAAATGATTCATTCAACTTGAATGAGTTTGGAGGAGTAAGATTGTCAACATTATCAATGTCACATTATTTTGTTGGATATAGTAAGAACATCATGTAATGTCATGAAAATCTTTCCAATGTCAAAATCAAAATGAAACATTTAATCGGCCATAAATTCACAGTTAAAGATATTAAACTAGAATTAATTCATTGCTTCCCATATGATCTTAAAGGTTAACTGGACTTGCATGTCTAAAGGACAGTAATTCAGCAAGAGTTTCAATCACAAAATATTTATATAAATTAAAGTAATTAATCCAGTAAACAAAGTTGTAGGGTAACCTATGGTATAGATCGCCTTTTAGGTAGAAGAAAAATGGCAGAAAAAAAGAGGCACAGTAACATGAAATAATTACAATACCTGTATATCTCTACATCATATCTTACCTGATGGCCAGGCAGCCCATCTAAACCAGGCTGTCCTGGTGGCCCAGTATCTCCTGGGGAACCCATTAAGCCCTGGATGCCTTCAATTCCCTTAACTCCTTGGGGACCTTGGGGACCAGGGGGTCCAGGAGGGCCCTGAACACCTCTTTCCTCCTCTGTGGTGGATGGTATAGGTGGTGTAAAGGGAGTTATCTGATTCATTTAATTTATGTTGGAAATCATCTCTCTCAACAAGATAACTACTCTATAATAAATGGATTTATGTTTTGAAAGGAATAAAGAAGAAAAAATTAAATTACAAATAATTATTAAGCAAGAAAACAAGATTAATGTATCATAAAATATAAATCTTGGCAAACATGAATTGTTTTTTCACAAGTTTAATCAAGAGGAACACAATACTGCAGGAGCGTATCCAGGAATATCAAAAGGGGGGTCCAAGAAGTTGTGGGTGGGGGGAACATGACGAGCATAACGAGCCTACCCAGCTGGGCGGTTATAGGGCATTTTGAGGCCATGTGCACTAGATATTAGGAGATATTCTGAGGTCAGTAGTAATTACTTTTTACTAAACAAAAATGCCTGAGCACAATACTGCATTAAAGAAAGAGTATTGGAAATTTCTAATGAAAACGGGGGGTCCGGACTCCCAGGATCCCCACCTGGATCCGCCTCTGTACTATAGTACTCAAATAGCTTTTTCTTTTTCCTTGTTTTAATCTGGATTAGCCCACCCGGGCTAACATCGGGGCCTGGGGCGCGAAAATACAATAATAATAATAATAATAATAATAATAATAATAATAATAATAATAATAATAATAATAATAATAATAACAAAATTCATGTCAAATATTTTGATGACATTTAGAACTTTGCTATAAGTCTCACTGTGGATAAGACACCTCGGTTATTAAGAATTTACCCTAAGCCCTATGATCAATGATCATGCTTGGGTTTGCTACAACAAACTTGCCAGGTATGTCTCAAGGTATAAATTACAAAGATAGAATATTGTAAGATTGAAGGGATGGGCTGAAGTTAGTACAGCATGTGAAGGAAATAGAGAGTCCATCATCCTTCATAAAGTTTGAGAAGCAAATTGAAACACGAAATATTTGATACTGCATCAAGTCAATATTATGTTAACAACCCTAGTTGTTAGGTAGATACTATTACCTAAAGCTACATTCACTTAGCAACCCCAGTTACTAGGTAGATACAACTGGTAGCATTCACTGCTTGCTGACTCCATATAAGTAATAATGTTTATACGATAGTGTAACTTCCTAACAAAGTAGAAAATGCTACCAAAAAACTCCACAGGACTTACTAGGATGGTACGGGTTGTACTCCAGGCCCCCAGAACCCTCTCCTCGGTAGAAATCTTCATCATCGCTGACTGAAATATTTACATGCAAAAGACATATAGAAAACATTTAAAGCTGTCAAAATGTCCATTCCATACTTGAGGATAAACAAAAAAAGAGAAACTTAACCAATAGAGATAATGTGAGTGATGTAACATACTTCAATGACCTTGATAAACATACAGAAAGCAGTATTTTTGGGATGCACTATAAACCATTAGCACGTGCTGGACACCTGACCCTTACAACATGCTGGCACTAACAGCAGGCCTAGTCACACCCATCCTCTCTTTAGAAGCTCACTGCATGAGGAAGGCTAAGGTAAGGATGAATTATCTTGAATAATGTACAATTTAATAGGCTTTTACCATCATACATACCAAATGCAGCTAAAATCTAATCATTTAAATGTCACAATAATTTCAAAATAGCCAGAAGTTTTGCCATTTGACTTTTATTGGATATCTAAGCTTTGTAAACATTAGCTGAGAAGATTAAGTCAAGAAAATATTCTAATCAGTGGTACTTTATGACCAATGAATGTAAGATACTTGCTCTTAAGACACAGTATTCCATTTTGAAGGAAATTTGAAAAAAGTCAAACTAAATGCAACTTCTAAAAATTACTAAGTATATCACAGTTGTGTAGATTTATATTTTCTTTGTTTCACCTATATAAAAAAATCATCAGCATCAACACTGTAATTAAAAGTTGTACAGTACAGGTAAACCTCTATTTGTGATGGGGGTTAGGTTCCTGAAAACCCCACTGCAAGTCAAAATAAGGTTAATTATAACATGGGGTTCAATGGGACTACAACACAATTAAACAACACTCACCACATCATTAAAATGAAGTCTAGTCATCATCACATGTCCCCTTCAAGGCAAAGGGAACTTTTAACACTCTTGGGATTTTCATACACAAAATTGCGTATTATCTCAATTGTCACTTTACGGTTTTCATATGCAAATTTGCATATGAAGTAAAAAAAATTAAAGAAAATAATTTTATGTTTATGTTTGAGTGCTAGACACGCAAGACACACATTTGGTTATGTCAGCGTGATCTGGCAACTATGTAGACTGCATTCCAAGGTCACCTTAATAGTTTCCATTTTGTTTTTACAGGACCCAGGATATAGCATTGACCCACATTTCCCAAACATTTTCAAGCAGCTTGTGTTGATTTCAATTATTATTAACAGCATTGTGAGAGTTTTGAACCATGTCTCGTGTTCCTGATGAGGGTGGAGGGTTGGGAAAATTTTAAAAGTGTAAGGAGATTGCACCACATTGTGATGAGTGGTGCCTCCTGATGCCTCTCCAGTGTCCCAGGCCCTTCTAGCATAAGTGATAGTTTGTCTGTCCCCCCAATAAGAGTCCTAGTGCTATGACTCAATACAATATATAGTATACAATAATATTTTGTGCCCGAAGGAGAAAAATTATTAATCTGTTCTCAGCCTGGGTGCGCTCATCAAAATGCAAAATTTGCACCATTATTACCTAGTTGCAGTGGGAGCGGGAAAACAAAGTGAAAGGTTACAGGGAAATAGTGCTAGGAATTATGACAAAACTAAATTAGGCAGGGAGTCAAAACCTAAACGAGACAAAGAGAAGACTCAGAACACGACTAACTTAAATGTCTACTATGCAAACAGCAGAAGTATGAGAAACAAAATGGATGATATTAGGACCTTGGTATGTACCGAAAAAATCGATATAATAGCATTCACCGAAACATGGATAAACCTAGACTCACGTGAGTTACCTGTCGAATACCAAATTGCAGGTTACAAATTATTCCATACCGATAGGCAGATTAGGGAAGGAAGCGGAATAGCAATCTATGTCAGGGATAATCTGAAGTGTGAAATAAATAAGGAAATCAAAACTGAGCGGAATACAGAAACAATTTGGATGGAATTAATCGATGGTAGGGAAAAATTAATCACAGGAGTAATATACAGACCTCCTAATCTTGTTAGAGTTAATGAGCGTCTTATTAGGGACGACATGTGCAGAGCTTCCATACATAGCAAAGTCTGTATAGTAGGCAACTTTAACTTTAGCCAAATAGATTGGACTGACCTTACGGGTAACTCAAAATCAGAGGATTTTCTTGAAACGATCCAGGACTGTTTCCTAAGTCAACATATAACTGAACCCACCCGGGGTAATAATATACTCGATTTAGTTCTGTCAAACAGAGAAAACCTCATTAGTAATGTTGAGGTAGGGAACGAACTTGCAAACAGCGATCACAAAGAAATTAGATTCCAGTTAAAATTTCAGGACAGCCGTAAGGAAAATTCCACTAAAGTCCAAGATTTCAGAGGGGCAAACTTTGATAGTTTGAAGAAGCAGTTGAGAGAGGGGGTATCAGGCTTGGGGTGAACTACATGACCTCACAAGAGGTGACCTCACTCAACGTACCCACAGAGGGCGACCTCACCCTACCCAGAGACCTGATGGTTGAGATTGACCTGATAACGAGATCTGAGGTTGCCAAGCTGCACGACAATTTAAATAATGAGTTACTTAATGCACAAAGGCAGAACATACTATACAAAAAACTCAGATCAAACAACAATGACCCTAAATGGGTAAATAATTATTTAAAGAACATTATTGGACATTATTGGCCGGTAGGGTTAAGACCGAGATAAGAAAAGCCAAGAGGAATAATGACCTGAAGATAGCAAGGGAGGCGAAGTCAAACCCCAAGGGATTCTAACAAATGTATCAAACTATAACACGAGAAAAGATTGGACCAATACAGTCAGATACCGCCGAGCTAACTGATAACGACGGAGAAATGAGCAATAATGTGAATAAATATTTTTCAACAGTTTTCACCACCGAAAATTTAAACATGATACCCGAAGCTCCGACTTTATACAGAGATAGTGAAGAAAATAAATTTAGCGAGATAGTAGTGACTAGTAACGATGTTATTAAGCAAATAGACATACTAAAGCCTAATAAGTCACCAGGTCCCGATGAGATATTTGCCAGAGTATTAAAGGAATGTAAGGAAGAGCTTAGTATGCCTTTAGGAAAGTTGTTTAACATGTCCTTAAATCAGGTGTAGTACCAGAATCTTGGAGAATAGCGAATGTAATACCGATTTTCAAGAAGGGAGATAGATCATTATCCTCTAACTACCGTCCAATCAGTCTAATGTCAATTGTAGGAAAATTACTGGCAGCAATCATTTCAAATTATTTTCAAAATCACCTGGAGAAGCACAAGTTGATCAATGATTCCCAACATGGCTTCCCAAGCGGGCGTTCATGTCTAACTAATCTATTAACATTCTTTTCATCAGTTTTCGAATCAGTGGATGAGGGGCATAATTATTATGTGGTATATCTCGACTTTAGCAAAGCCATAGAGGCTTAGACAGAGTCCCCCACGAAAGACTAATAAGAAAAGTGGAGGCTCATGGCATTAAAGGTGATATTCTAAAATGGATTAGGGCGTGGTTACAGGACAGAAAACTGCGAGTGAGCATTAACGGCACTAAATCCCATTGGAGCAACGTCACTGGTGGAGTTCCTCAATGCTCAGTACTTGGATCAGTAATATTTATTATATACATAAACGACATATATATCGGCATAGACAGCAACTTAATTAAATTTGCTGATGACGCTAAAATAGGACGTGTAATTAAATCTGATGAGGACTCCGCAAAACTACAGGAAGATCTAAACAAAATTTTCGAATGGTCTGAAAAATGGCAGATGAAATTCAATGTGGACAAATGTAAAGTACTCAGTATAGGCGATGTAAACAGGGAAACCAGATTCCAGGTGAACAACGAGTAATGATAAGTAGGAATCTTAAGCCAAGTAAACAATGTGTATTTGCTCGAAACAAAGCTAATAAAGTACTTGGGTTCATACAAAGGAGTGTCAGTTACAAGACTAGCGAGGTTATCTTAAAACTCACTTGGATTACTTGGATTACGCAGTTCAATTCTGGTCATCATTTTACAGAATGGATATAAAATCCTTGGAAAGAATTCAGAGGAGAATGACAAGACTAATCCCGGGCATTTGGAACCATGAGTACAGAGACAGGTTAAAGCATCTTAATTTGTACTCCCTCGAGAGACGTAGAGTGAGGGGCGACATGATAGAGGTGTATAAATGGAAGTCAGGGCTAAACAAAGGGGACATTACAAAGGTACTCAAACTAATCAACCAGGAGCCAACTCGTAACAATGATTTTAAATTAGACGAATTTAGATTTAGGCGCAAAATAGGTAAACATTGGTTTGGAAATGGAGTAGTGGATGACTGGAACAAGTTACCAAATATCATCATTAACTCGAATACGCTGGATAGCTTTAGACATAGGTTGGATGGATATATGAGCAATAGGGACTGGGTGTAAATGGGACTGCCCAGTATGGGCCATAAGGCCCACTGCAGTATCCTCCATTCTTATGTTCTTCTCATGTTCTTATGTTAATTTTTCCCAACTTTTCCTCTATAACTATTTTTTCCTTAATATGTATGCTTTATAATGGAATAAGGTTCTTATTGCAATCACATGAAATAATGAAGGTACAAAGTGATATATAGACATTAACATTAAACATAGAGAAATAATTATTTTATCATGATTAATCATATAAAACTGTTTGTAAATAATATTTACAATGCTAATGCAATAAATTCTACCTTTTCTATCTCAAATAGCAAGTTTGCTTTGACTCATTACGAACAATTTTATCTCTCATATGGTGAAGCCAAGTGCGGTGAGGTGAGTAACCAGTCAGATTCTGAGCATCTTGTGGTGAGAGCACCTACCCAAATCCAAGAGTATTTAGATGGAGTGGAGACATCAACCTGAGTCCCACACAGACGTTGGGGAATCTGATAGGTGGGGACTGGAGGTGCAGCCTTTGTCCCGGCTTTAAATATAGTGAGCTAAACGCTTGCCAGGCATTTTCAAAGTTACACTACCCACTCCACAGTCACAAAAACACAATAATAATGAGACTCCATGGACCTAA